AGAAGAAAGAAAAACTTCATTGTATTACATAGATTCAAAATCATATGAGAGTCGATTAGGGTTTCTTGAGAGTTTGTAATTTCTTTTTCAATAAAAGAAAAGCAGCCGCTATTTCTCTGTTTAATCGCCTTATTTACTTTCTCTTACAAACTTCTAGTGTAAATCGTTCTACTGTCGGATATGGGATAACAACATGCATTACATATTTCCTTTTCCCTTACCTTCTGTACCTCCTGCAACACATATTTAAAATTACAAAAACGAGGGTTAGACTGAAGAGTCTAGTGAGATACCCTATTCATGTCATTGCAGAGTGAAGGATCACCAAAACCTTTATAAAAACAATTATTCATATATATAACAGATATATGAATACACATAATCATAATACCAAATCATTTTCCACTTTTCAAGCTAATCACGCAGCTATCCAAATCTCATACTTTTGAACCAATCGGGTTCCATATAGTACCATTTTTTTTAAACCTTTACTCATCAAATGAGGTTTAAACAAAGTTCCAGAACAAACCTGTTCTTTTCTCCTCAATAACATCCAGTCTATGATTTTCAATTAAGAACMTTGATCYTAAATCCTTAAATCACAAAGAAATAAAGATTCCAGACCTTGGTAGTCTTAAAGGATATAATAGAAAGAGTTATATAATCCACACACATACAAATGTCACCCTTATATCAAATGTACACCTCTCCTTGATATGCCACCCTTATCCCATGGTACACCTTTCCTTGATATGCCACCCTTATATCAAATGGACACCTCTCCTTGATATGCCACCCTTATTACTTCATCAAAACATTTATATAAAAAAATTCCGAATAGACCGCAGCCATCGAAATTGTTATTAGTCCAAAATCATTTATATCAAAACTTCATTTTATGATAAAATAATAATTTTTATCAAAATATTTTCAACACAATCCGATCAACAATCCAGTCAACATCCGGTCAACAATCCAGTCAACATCCGGTCAACAATCCGGTTTAAACACTTAGGATTTAGAATCAACTTTGTCCGGAGATCAAGTCCGGACAACATACCACATATGCTTTGGACGATTTAACACTTGGAATAAATTCATCTTTATCCGGATACAAGTTCGGACAATATCCTACACCACCCTTGGCCGGTTAATCAATATCGGGACAATAAGCCGCTCAAGGCTTATCCGGTTTAACTAATCCGGATGATAAGCCGCTCAAGGCTTGTCCGGTTTTAAACTAATCCGGACAATAAGCCGCTCAAGGCTTGTCCGGTTTAAACTAATCCGGACAATAAGCCGCTCAAGGCTTGTCCGGTTTAAATACTTATCCGGTCACTCTTTGTCCGGATAAACACTTAAACAAAACTATGCAAGATTTCTTTCTAAAGAATAATAACATGAAACATGCAAATAAAACCAGTAGTAATTTTATGCAAAAAGGGCTAGAAACCACTCACCTTAACAAGCTTTTGAAATCAAAACTTGAAACCAACTTGATTCTCCAAACACTTGAAATCACCCTTTTGCAATCCGTTCAACACTCTTTAAAGCACTCAATTTTACTCAAAATAGCAGGGAGAGGCCAAATGAAGAGACCAAGCCTCTTTTTATACTTTCCAAAAATAGGAAGGTCGGTTAAACCGCCTTCCCTCTTTTCCATCTCATACTTAGACCATCATGCACATACATACATGCCTACTCCAAAAATAG